TGATAGATACACACCGAAATACCCACAACGTCATAGATACACACACACACACACACACACACACACACACACACACACACACACACACACACACGTAAATGTATTCTAACATAAAAAATTATCATCGTTACTACCGTGTTTCCCCGAAAATAAGAGTGTCTTATATATTTTTTTCCACAAAAAAAGACACTAGGACTTATTTTCGGGGGGATGTCTTATTTTTACCTGGCTGCAGCTGTCTGGAGCTCTCTGCTCCGTGCAGTGTTAGTACAGGAAAGTCCCGACGGCAGACAGTACCGGGCTGGGGGAGGAGTACTCACAGGACTGGACGGGGTCCAGGAAGGCAGCGTGCTTTTGCCGATCCCGGTGTCGAAGTTGGCGGATGATATGACGCTTCCATCGGGCGGGAGCTGCGGCCGGTCTTGACATTTAAAATTCAGTTATATGTGCAGCTACCCCGAAAATAAGACCTAGCACTATCTTCAGGGATTTCTGTAATATAAGACCTACCACCGAACTAGGTCTTATTTTCGGGGAAACACGGTAGGTCTTACTTTCGGGGAAACACGGTAGGGATGCACCAATAACGATACTAGTATCGGTATCGGTGCCTGTAACTAAAATTTGGGAGAGTACTCGTAGTCCCCCAAATGCTCTGAAACCTATCTCAGATACTGAAACTTCCGGCCAGAGGGAGACCTCCCTCTGACCTGGCAGTGCTGAAGGAGCATGGAGCCAGCTTCCTTTCCAATCAGGAAGCTGGGCGGTGGGTTATGACCCCCCTCCAGGCAGCCTCGGGAACTGAAGCAGGTGTTCTTTCGCTAGAACACCAGCATCACAGGCAATCAGGAAGCCAGATAGCGGGTCATGATCTGCCGCCCGACTTCCTGGTAATCGGGGCACACGGCACTGGTACTCGGTATCGGCGAGTACTGGAAAAAAAATATCAGTACTCATACTCGATACAAAAAAACCGGTATCGGTGCATCCCTAGTTAATACTTTATTCAACACAGCAAAACTATGATATTTAATTGCAATAACTCTCTAATCATTTCCAATAAACATTGATAAAGTAGCGTTAGCAAAGGTAGATCAAAATCTCATGTTCTGCTTTGGAGTCTTGCATTGGATTGTTAGAAGCAAATTTTAAATGGAAGGCTGAAACAAAGTGCCTCCTCATACGGTGTAAGGTTACCTATGGATTTTGCTTACAAATGCTTGATGCAATGGATGACCTGCCAGAAAAAAAAAAACAATGTCCCTTTTTAAAAAAAATATTATTATAATAAGATTTGATAACGCATTCATCTTTTTTTCTTTTGTTTTACATGTATCGTATTATCTACAATTCAAAACTGCTAAATTTGATATTTTTTATGTGCAACATTCCAGTGTTGAATATGTTTACTGACAGTATTCTCTGTTTGCATCGGTTAAATATGAAAAGTATGGCTAAAAAATGTAAATAACATTTTTAGATTAATTTGGTGCTTGAAATGAGGAAATGCGCTCAGAAAATGACATTTAAATTCCAGTTTATGGTTGCTTTTAATTAGACTCCTACAACAGGAAAAAAACTCCCTTCATGTCCTCCTTCAGCTTGCTCTGGTGGATACAGTTTTACACAGTGCAATTTGAACTTTTAAGATAGAGGGTTTTATCAACTATGACCCATGCTGGTCTGTTTCATGTGACGGGGAGGATTTTATGTTATTTAGTGCTTCAGGGCCCAGTCACACCATCAAGTGCGTTTGGCCTCGAACGCAACCCGGCCGGCTCACTTTGTTTTGGGGCGGGAGGGGGCGTGGCAGTGCATTGAACTCAATGGCACCGCAGCCACGGCCACCACCCATGGTGCAAACGCCGCCACGTGAATGCGTGGCAGATCGCACTGGACCGAACTGCAGGCCTAATGTGCCAAGCTTTCGGGTGACGGTTATCGCGCTGCGTGGGGGCGTGGCTGCGGTGCCATTGAGTTCAATGCACTGACACGCCCCCCTCCCGCCTCAAAACAAAGTGAGCTGGCCAGGTTGTGTTCCAGAGGCCAAACACACTGGAACGCACTCTTGATGGCGTGACTGGGCCCTAAAGCCCAACTTCAGACAAAACATAAATCATTTTGCCATTTGCCATCTGTGACCCTGTCATGGAGATTTCCCCTCACTTCCTGTAAGGACATTGATGGAAAATCTCCCCAATTGGGGCACAACCGCTGCTGTACAACTGCTGTATTTCTTGCACGAGGGTCACAGTGACAGGAAGTGAGGAAAAATTACCTCACTGTGGTCAGACAACAAAAATCCAAAAACTGGATGTTTTACTCTTTAACACTCTGTCCAAATCTGAGGAAAAAAAGGGTTTTGGCTGGTGTTGAGAATGCTAAATGGAAGGTAAGAATCAGACTAGTGTTTCTAATCTAGACTAGTAGATTTTAAAGGGGGGACCCCAGGCAAAAAAACAACCAATGTGCCGTTTTCTCCTTGACGTCAGCGTCTGCACCTCCCCCCCCCTCCCCTTTACATCAGAAGCCTCCCTTCACTTCAGACATAAGGGTCATATCGGTTAGGTGTGCAATGGGGTTCGCGTACTGACCTTTCACATGACTCTCCCACTTTGAAGGAACCCCTGACAAAGCCAGAAGGCAATCCGGGTGCCATGGCACTCTGGTTGTGAAAATGCTGCACTAAACCTACAAATGCAGAGTAAAAAAAAATACAAACAAATTACTTTTTGGCGCCTATTTGGTTTAAATACTTTTAGTCTCCTCTGGAGCTCATTAATGATTGATATTCCTTCAACTTTCTCTCTTAATGTATATGCCATTGACAAGAATTACATTGCTAGTTTATATTACTTGAAAATACGTTTGTATGTTTTTCAATTAGCTGGTTAATGTTTTAAAAAAAAAAATCTTTTTACACATTTATTTGCTTCAGCTGAAATCTGCTATAAAGAACTCTGCTGTAAAAACCTGTACTGGATGCATCATGCAAATATGACTGTAATCTTATTTTCTTTTATCTAGGCGAGTACTCCTAAACCCCAGACACAGAATCAAAGTGAAGTTGATAAATGCCATTCTGGCATGACAGTGACAACCACGCAGCTGTCACCGCCTATGTCTTCCGGGAAGGCTCGCAGCAAGAAAGACAAACAGGAGCTTGGCGACTTCTCAGGGTGTAAAAAGTCCCCTATATGCAATATTGATCCACAGCTAAAGCAAGGCGAGGATCTGATACTTGAATCCCATCTCCTATTTCCTATTACAGCAAATATATCTCAGACCACACAGTATAAGTTTATCACAGTTGACTTTGCATTTTTGTGCTTATTTTTCTATTTTTCAACCGCTTTCAAATTACTTAGCTACTCACCAAACACAAAAAGTTTATTTAAAAAAAAGAAAACTATAATTGTTTTGGGTCCGTTTTATTTTTTATTTGTGTATGGTATGTGTGAGTGTAAATACAGTGTATATCTATCTATCTATCTAGAGATAGTTATTTTTAATTTTTTGGACCCTATCTTTTATTAGAAAAAATTAAAGTTTAAATTACCTTTTACATTAAAGAAGAACTCCAGGTAGAATTTTTAAACCAAAAAGACAAACGTGAGGGCGCAAAACTAAAGGGGCTATCTGACTGGACCGAATATTGCAGCCCCTTTAGTTTTGCGCCCTCACGTTGGTTTCCACAAGTACAGGTACTCCTCCTGTTTCCCAGGGCTGCAGGCTAGTTAGGGACACACAATTCAATCCCATAGGTCCAATCCGAGAGCGCTGTTCGTGCTATCTTTAGGTTGAATTTTTATTAACCCTTACAGTGGGGCTACCCCCACACTGCAATAGTTAACTGCTCGCTTTTGTCTAAGTTCAGAAATAATCAAGATACTGTATGCTCACCCAATCCTCAGAGCCCTCCCTCCTGCCTGTCTCCTGCCCCATTGAAGCAAAGGAATTTTCCTGTGAGTATAACTTTTTTATTTTTGAACCTAGACAAAAACCAGCACTCAAAAGAGAACTCTGGGGTAAATGTTTTTCCCCATAGTTCTATTTAGGATCACGGGAGGACATATACTCAACCCCTCCCGTGACCCAAAGCTCAGTATATAGCGGGCTATTGCCCGCAAAATACTGAGAGTGCCGCAGCCGGGGTAGCTCAATTGCAAGGGATGAAAAAATGTTACCTGCTTGAAATTAAGTTAAATCATCTATTTTTAAAGAAAAAAGTCCTGTCTATGTGCAGGAACCACAAATTGCTTTTGAACATTTATTTGTCCAAAAAGTCTGTTCTGTTATCCTGTTTTCACGATTTTCATTTGGTGCACACAAAGTGCATTTATATCTTTTGTAGCTATTGAGGAATATATTTTGGTTAAAGTTTTTGTGTCCAGAGCTCAGCTTTAATTCATAGAAAACTTACCCCAAACTATTATAGTTTCCTTTTAAAATGGCTGACAAGTTGACTTTAATGAGTTGGTATTGGTGATTTCAGGATGCTATCCTGAGCATAGCAAAAGAAAAGGAGAATTCCTGTTAACTAATAATTTTTTGGTGCATTTAACAAAACACAAAATATTTTTAGTTGGGTACTTTTTTTTAACAATTCACCAAGTTTTTGTTTGCCTTTGTGAGGGGTTAGTGCCGGCTAATATAAATGTTTAGAAAGTTATCTTGATGGTTTCAAATGACAAGTTCCAGTAAGTAAATCATTATACAGCCATTGGCCCAAATTTAAAGATGAGGTTGAAGATGATTATCATTCACCTCAGAATGTTGGTTGTTTAGGTTTGGACGACACTCGGTTCATTATAGTTTCCTTATAAATAAATATATGTACACCAAGAGATACAAGTAGAAGTGGTATTTAGAACCCTTCTGGCCCAATAGTAATTAAAAAAAAAAAATGCTTATATATTGTGCAGGTCTGTTTGAATGGAAATATTCGTTTTTAGCCACAACAATTCCTCTTTTTTGTTCCCTTTTAGTGGTATGCAAGGTTAGCCACTAAAAGTGCTTACATCGAATGAAATTAACTTTTTCATTTAGAGTGTATGTAAAGGCAAAAATCATTATTTTAAGTTTTGGTTTGGATTGGTGAGATTCACCTCCCTTCTTGTCTTAGTCACCATTGTCACAATGACAGAAAGTAAGGGAAAACCCTAAGGTTCAGAGTTGTCATCAGAACAAGAGGGGAGGTGAAATATTCCTGCTTCTTCTACATCGTCTTCTTCATCTTTTTCGTCTTTTTTTTTTTTGTCATCTTCTTCTTCGTTTTCTTTGTCATCTTCTTTATCTTCTCCTTCTTTGTCTTCGTCTTCTTTGTCTTCTTTGTCTTCGTCTTCTTTGTCTTCGTCTTCTTTGTCTTCGTCTTCTTTGTTTTCTTTGTCATCTTCTTTGTCTTTTTCTTCTGCATCTTTGCCTTTGTCCTCTTCTTCATCTTCTGTCACTTTATCTTCTTTTCTTCGTCCTTTTTGTGTTCTTCTTTTTCGGTTTCTTCTTTTTTAGTGTCTTTTTCATCTTTTTTTTCTCATTTTCTTCTATTTCGTTGTCTTCTTTCTCCAAGAAGGGAAGTAAGGGGAAATCTCCCCACCAATACAGTAAAAAAAAACAACCTATTGGGGATTTTAAACCCGTTTAAAATCTGTGGTCTTATCTAAAACTAAAAATAATAATTTGGCTATGCATACCCTTTAAAACATAAACAGGTAAAGTGTATGTAAAATTAAGTTATAAGTATATTTATTTATATAGATATTTGTCAATTTCAGTTGCTTAATTTACTTAAGTTTTGGTATATTTTTTTATTTGTTGCTTTTTTATCAGTTATAGATGCACACTATCAATTTAGTCCGGCAGTATGTTCCACTCAAAATTCAGAATTATGCCTTGGAATGCAAAAAATGTTCCACGCTACTTAGTACAAGGCCCTGCTACAGAAATCAGCCGACCCCACCTGTAGTTATCTGTGGTCTTGTGATTTTGTAATACAGTCTTAAGATTGGTTCTGTTTAAAGATAACACGGATGATCCTAACTTCATTAGAACATTACAATACAGTAAAAAGTTGGCAAATATAAAGGGTAGGCACCCCTAACAATGCATTTCTCATATTTGGTTTCTTTCGAAGAGACGGTTTGAGCCTCATGCCGGTTTTTATTGCTCTGCAACCCCCTGCGTTCCCGTCTCGGTGATTTAGAGACACAGAGAACAATAGAAATCTGACAAAGGGTATAATCCTTCCACACGCTACCCAAAATTAACAGAAACAGGCTTTACCTTGACTTCAAAATATCTCATAGGGAGTATTTACAAATGTTTTCACCCAAAATTCACACATTGTATTCAGATTCAATAGGAAAATTAATGCTGGGTGCAAGTTCTGAGTCTTGTGTGAAAAATTATATAAATAGACCCCTTTGTGTTTTTGTATAACTTATTTCTTCGTGCGATTCCTGTCTTCTTATTGCATTAAAATAAGCTTTTATATTACATGTTGAATTTTATAAGTAAATAACAGGTTTCCTTCATGACATTGCTATGACATGCTTACATTTCTTAAATGCATGTGCTTATTTATTTATTTACAAATTGACATTTTGCACGGCTGTGACTACAAAAATGTAGGGATTGCTCGGGCTAAATAGCATATCGGATACATCTGTAAAAACATTCCTGCACAATATAATAATGTTGTAAAATCTGTTGAATCCAATCAAGCATTACAATCTTTAGTACATACTGTTTTTTTTTTTAGCAAATTGCCTACATAAAAAACAATTTTCTTGTAGTATCACCAGCTTTATTGTTTTTGGCACCTGATGGGTTGTACAATTCCATGTCATAATCATTGAAAGATTTCTCTTTATAGGTACGCCACACAACGCAAAACATTCTAGGTCTTCTAGACGTAACAACCGAAGGAGATCTCAACGCTTAACCACCTCGACCCCCAGTGAAGTTCCGCGACTGCCTTTCAAAGATGGAAAAGGCCTGCCAGGCTACATTCAGACTCCTCACGACCTTTCAGTAGCCAAGGGTAATTCATCAATTTATTGAGTAATGAGAAAACAGGGTACACATAATCCCTGGCTTCTCAGTTCAGTTTTTTTTTTAAACTGGAATTCCAGCCATAATGTTTTATTATTTCTGGTTATTTTGTGGAAAGTTTTGAATCACTCTGATTTTTTTATCCTTACATTTTGGTTTAGGGCCTGTGTTGATGGGTCTTTGCTGCGTACAGGTTTTGGGGGATGCAACCTGTCAGTGAATTCTAAAAGTTGTGAAAAAACATTCTCAACCTGATGGCATTGACACATGCTCTTAGAATGCTAAATCAGTGACCAGAGCAGTCTGTGCGTTATTAGATTTTGACCCGAGAATATCCCCCCAAAAAAAGAAAATCTTTTGTCTAGGCCTTCCTGTCTGGTCCAGGTCCATTTAAGCCCCGATGGAACGGGCTATTTGGACTCTCCTGTTCCAAATAGCCTGTTTCCCCCTGCACGTTGGTGGTTTTTACACAATTGTCATGACGAATAACATTTTTCATCAATTTTGTAAATTTAGGGTGTACCCTGAGAGCCATGTTGGGACCCATCTGGCAGTTGGGACTGATACTAAACTCAAGAATTAAACCTTCAAAATGCATTCAAGTACTTTAACTATTAACAAAAATGTTGCTTTAGATCCTACAGGATCTACAGCTCAGTGAAGCACAAATAAGCTCCATTTTTGTTAATAGGGTATTGGAACGCATTTCAAAAATGTTTTGACTGGAGTTCCAATTTAAATATAATTCTAAAACATGAAATCTTTAGAACATTTATAATTCTCACTTGAACATCAGTTCCAGAAACGGATTCCTCCTAAAAATAAAGGATCTTGGTTTTCTTAATGCTGGTAAAATTGCATTTTAATTAAATAAATGACAATCGATGTTTAACCTTTTTTTACAGTAAAACCTTTTTTATATATACTTACAATCGGTGTGCTGTACAAAGAGTTTTTTTTATCTTGTCTGGAATTGCAGCCTCTCTATACAACACTTGAAATATTGATTACAATAGATAATGAATGTCATTCCTATGTTCACACGGGATGTCATATTGTAATACTCTATCACATTCTTTTGTTTATATAGTACCCGATGTTGCCTTTGTGCCTCAGGAGAAGCTTGAACCTCTTGACCTAAGCTGTAACACCGACATAACAACTCCCGTAGGCCTAAAAACCACTTTCCACACTGACCGCACCACTAAAGAAAAGGAACATTTACAATTGATAAACTATTCTTCCAAAGCACTAGCTGATGGAAGAATAGCTTCAACGTCATCAGGTAAAGTTCTTGAGTTTACAAGCGCTTGACTACTTGGTATGTATGCAGGAAGATTCACACTCAACCGACTGCAAAGTCCGAGGCTCTTTCCTGGTTTGTCATCTTCTCTCTGTTTTGCGGTGATGGGTAGGTGTATACAAGGCTTTTCTTTCTGTTCACTTTAAAACCTGTATATTTTTTCAAGTGTCTGTTATACAGATTTAACTACATTTTTTTTATTTAAATTGAAATGAATTTTTAACTTATTTTTTTGTTCAAATATATGAAAACTAATATGAAACCGAACTTCATGCAAGCTATTTAGACATAAGGAGCTTGCCTCTGACAAGTGTGTAGAGAGCATGACAGGCTTTTTATTAATCATTTTTTATAGGGATGTAACAATACCGTTTTTTTGGTATCGCGTACGAGTACCGATATCTTGCTGGAATAATGCTGGAAGTCCCATTAAGGAAGCCAGGCGCTGTCTAAAGTCTCGCCAACCGGCTTCTCGATTAGCAGGGAAGCCGTCTCCATGCTCCCTCGTTGCCCGGCTTCCTGATTACACAGCCCTGACTTTCTGATTGGCTGGGGAGCCGGCTCCATGCTCCCTCGTCACCAGGGGACGAGGGAGCATGAAGCAGGTTTTCTTGCCCATCAGAAAGCCAGGGGGCGGGTAATAACTCGTCATCCATTTTCCTGATTGGCCAGCTTCCCGACCAATCAGGAAGCTAAGCAGCGAGTCATTACACGCTGCCCGGCTTCCTCATAACGGAAGCTAAGGTATCGGGCTAGAAATCGGCCAAATACTCGGCACCGATACTGATACTAGTCTCGGTGCATCCATAATTTTTTGTTATACAGAATTTATATAGTACTATCACAGTATGCTAAAGTTAATAATTGTGTGGGGGTGAGTTGATGCAGAAAGTAATGGTTCAGTTGCTTGACTACAGCACTATACAGGGGGCATCTTAAACAGAGGGCTATATGCTCTGTGTTGAAAAGCGGTCTGGATCTATAATGTGCTGCCAGCACAGGGCACTTTAACCCTAACAGCAATACAATAGTACATAGAAAAATTAAATAGACACCCACATCTGTTACTGTTTATGCAGCCTGACAACATGCAGCCTGAAAAGGGGTCTTCAGTTGGTTTTCAATCCTAATCCACCTAATCCCTAACAGATAATCTAAACCTCTAATCACAGCCCTTAACGACAACTAACCCTAATGTTAAACTCTGGACACAAAAAACATAATTTTATATATTTATTAGCCATTTAGGGGGGAAATCCATTTTGTTTACACCAGATGCTTTTCCAAGCCAATTTTCACCTTGTAAACGTAGCGGTGGCATTGCCGTGCAGAGAGCAGAGCTGTGGGAGGGACCCAGCAGGCCCCACTGATTACATGCTGCCTGCAGAAAACTTCAGGAGGGGCAGAGACAGGACCGGTCACCCTGCACAAGGAGAAAGAACAGCAGTGACGGTCTTTATTACAGGAGGGAGCGGACACAAGACCAGTCACCCTGCACAACGAGATAGAGCAGCAGTGACCGGTCTTTATTACAGAAGGGGGGCGGAGACAAGACCAGTCACCATTGTTAAGGATAGAGAGCAGCAGTGACTGGTCTTTATTACAGGAAGGGGCTGAGACAAGACCAGTTACCCTGCACAAGGAGAGAACAGCAGTGACCGGTCTTTATTACAGGAAGGGGTGGAGACATGACCAGTGACCCTGCACAAGGAGAGAGAGCAGCAGTGAGTGGTCTTTATTAGAGGAGGGGGTGGAGACAAGACCAGTCACCCTGCACAAGGAGAGAGAGCAGCAGTGAGTGGTCTTTATTACAGGAAGCTCCACGTTTCATACTGGATTACTGTACAGATCTGGAAGAAATACACAAAGCTCACCGAAATTCAAGTAAGAATACACATGGCTCTTGTATTTAGTCAGTATTTACTTATTGCAGAGTTCAGGCTTAAATGTAACTCTTAACCTCAGCTCAACTTCTATAGCAAAACATTTTTTATTCTGATAAGTGCATGGGGTTGATACCTGTAATGACAATGTTCGGTGTATGAATTCCTTTCTTTCCCACATACAATTGTTTGCATTTTTCTGCACATTACATGCATACCAAGCTGTCCAGCAAGAGTGACTGATAATTTTGGGACAAACCACACAACACAGCTGATGGAGCTTACAATGGTCAGCTTTTATTCATGAGGCTTAAAGCTTTATTCTAAAAGAAAAATGATCTGTTGCTACATCTGAAAAGGACCTTGTTTACAAAGTGGCATCTGATTTCACTGCAGAATGAGCAGCATTGTCATCCTTTTACAGAAAGTGGAAAAAGAAAAGAGCTGCTGGCAGGATGTACATGTTATAAAACTCTGACAAAGAGTGGACTAGTGTCAGTGCATCATATGTGATTTCCTTTTTTTAGTTTGCCTATCGTTACGCTAGCCTATACACCAAACTGCTATTCTTGTTCTATCCCTTAACCTAGAGGTGGGCGAACTGCGGCCCTCCAGCTGTGGTGCATCTACAATTCCCATTAGGCATTACAAGACTCTGACAGACACGACTCCCAGAGGCAAATGCATGATGGGATTTGAAATTTTACACACAGCTGGAGGGCCGCATTTTGCCCAACCCCCGCTTTCACCTATACCTATCCCCGAAGTGAACACCTAAAAGGGGAACTAACCCCTCCTATTCTCCCTAACTAAGGACAGCACCATCTTAGCCTCTGTAAAGATCTGTACTTGCCAAGGTACTTTACAAGTGAAGCTGTGGCAATGAAATTTTGGTTGAAGAACATTGGCAACTGTGACAGTCATCCTCGGAGGCACACCTTGAATGTAGCATACATTGCGCATATGCTAGTAGGTAGAATAGGGGAGAATTTATCAAAACTGGAGCAATTGCCCATGGCAACCGATCAGTTTCTCTCTTCAGTTTGCTCAGGTAAGATTTGAAAAAGAGAGAGAGAAGCTGATTGGCTGCAGTGCAAATCTTCTCCAGATTTTGTCTGCTCCCGTTTTGATAAATCCTCCCCCCCATCCCCCATTGTATATAAAACATTATAAGACAACATTGGTGTTGGTTTGGTTAAGGTTTATTGAACATTTCTAACTAGAACTTTCTTTTGGGAAGCCATTAGATTGGTGAGTTAATTTCGGCTTCAACATAACCCCTAGAATTTAAAGCCAAATTCCAGGCATACATAGTATAAATGAATATATATTGCTCAGTAGCCCCAAATGACCAAAATCCACTTTGTGTGCTCCAAATGCCTTTGCAAACCCAATATTACCTTGTAAAAGTGACCGTAACATCATCCCAGTACTGCACATAGCCTGTGCAGAGAGCAGACTTGTGAGAGGAACCCAATAGGACCCTCCAGCTACAGGGAATTGGCAAAAAGCTACAGGAGGGGGCAATGACTAGACCAGGCTAGGAGAGAGAAGTGATTGGACTTTAATCCAGGAAACTCGTTCACAGAGGCAAAGGGCTAGATTTGTTTTATGCTGGATTTGTACATAAGAAATACACCAAGTGCGCCGATATTCAAGTGGGAATACACAAAGTTCTATTGGTTTAGCTCAGATTATAGCTTTAAGGTGAATCTGTACTTTTGTCATTCAGGACAGATCGGCAGATTCACTTTAATCCCCCACCTCTGCTGCACACACTTGCTTCTGCTTCCTCACTTCTCCGTTCACTCCTCTGTAAGTGAAAGGAGACCACTATGTAAATGGAATCGCTGGCGTTACTCTAGACATGGCTATGGACTCCCTAAGTGGCAGGTCTGATTGACCCAGAACTGGCACATGTTCCTCTATACCTATGCTTGGAAGTACTAGGATTTTTCTTGGGGTGCAGATAGGGGCTCCATCAGACCCCTGATGTCTTCATAAATAGGACCGCTCACACCCTATCTGTTATTACACAGTGGGCTTGTTAGCTCCTTATGTGAAATCAATACAGTTTAGTGTAAAAAAGAAATACAAAAATTCATAATTAAAGTAACAATTTTTAAAGTCCCCCACCCCCACGTACAAGCACATACCAGCGCAATCACGCGTCGGGTGCGCCTACGTGCAAAAATGACAATTGCGCCACATGTTTCATATCACCGCGAGCAATAATTCTAAGGCCATCAATCACTGTTAATCAGTTTAGTGTTATTAGCAAAACCTTTTAATGCATTGCCTATGGGAAATTTTGGGTATAAGGTCTCGTTCACACCTAGGCATATTGCTATGCGCGTCTGTCGCGCGTTTTTTTACCGCGCGTTTCCGAAGGCTACTTGGCTGTATCCCAATGGAAATGCGCAACAAAACGGCCCAAAGTAGTACATGTACCTTTTCAGGCGTGGGCCGTTTTGTAGCGCGTTAGGGATGGGCGGAAATACGCCAAGGTGGGAACGAGACCTTATAGTTGTTTTACGGTTTCACGGACATACGCAATTTTAAGGCATGACATGTTTGGTATCTATTTACCCGACTTGACCCCATCTTTTATATTTTACCCAAAAATTGGGTATTCTGTTTCTGTGAACTAAATTTCATTTTATTTTATCCTAAAAATACAGGTTTGATAAAAATTTCAGCAAAAACCCTGCGACATATAAAATTGCAACTAGCATTTTTTTCATTCTACATGGCCTCTGCTTTCACAAAATATATGAATTTTTTTTTTTGGGGGGGGGGGCAAGTGGTTAACCATCTGTGGACCGGCCACTGTATCAAAACAGCCGGTCTGCTGGCACATTGTTCCGGGAAAACGTACTGCTACATCCTGTGAACTTGTGTGCTGAATGCAGTCAGTGCTTCCACTGTCACTAGACAATGGAGAGCCACGGCTTTACAGACATCTGATTGGACCACCTCTGTGTCCTGTGATTGGTTATCTTAACGATCGCATTGCACTGTTTACATTGCGAGGCCTTCCCCTTCCTCTTACATCAGAGGCATGGGAGAGTCATCCATTCATTACTCACTAGTGGAAAC